CCTGGGAAATAACTTTTGGGAGTGTTCCAGTGTCCTTGACAGTTCTGTAAAAGCAGTGATCAGACACACCACAGCCATGAGCAATATTGGGCATCTTTGCTTTTCAAGTGTTTGTGCAAGTTGTGTCAGTTTAGGAATACGATTTCAGCACTGTATGTAACCAACATAATTACTCTTCCAGGGACACAGAATACTATGATTATGGACACGGGGAGGCACAGGAAACCTATGAAGCTTATGGTATGTCTGGGAATACTGTTCTTTTGACAGGGAAGGGGCTGCACATAGGTGGGAATTGCTTGTGGTCGACCAGCTGTTTTCCAGTGCCACTCCACGCTCTGAGCAAAAACTTACTGAAGAGAACCTCGAGTAGTTTTTGTGGTAGAATATTTATACCCTACAGATTATCCAGGTCTGAACAACCGAAGGCATTCTGTGGTTTTTAGATTCTTACCTATCTTGATTGTGTCAAAGGTTACTCTTTTAAAATTCCATTTTTTAACTATGGCAATATCTTTTAATTTCCTTGTAGCTTTAGAATATTTTAAGCGCTCTGGATTTCCACCCACAGCACTACTTTTGCTGCAGTCTGGTTTTCACGGATTATATTTTGTTGAACTGGATGAGTGCATGGTTCCATCTGCTTCCTTATCCTCAAAAACCCGCTAGCTGATACTGACTGCACTATACATTTGCTTGAAAAATGGATTTAAACGTCATATGAAGGCCTCCCTTTGACTAGGTGAAACAATTTTGGTCAATATGACTTGCAAGTAATCTATGAAGTTTAGCTAATTTTAGTTACGTAAAGCCATCAATTTAGGCTAGACTGAGGGGTGTGGGAGACCAATTTAACCACAACTGGGTACATCCCCAACTGTTGAAAACAATAGGCCTTAATCTGAGGTGCTGGCAATAAAGGGTTGGGTGATGGTGGGGGGTTTTTTTAATGCTAGTTCAGATATCTGAGCTTATGAATGGCATCTGCACGTGGCAATGAGTAAGATTCATTTTCCTCTCTCTGTAAACAAGCTGAACTATAAACAAGTTACGAAAGCTATGCAGCAAGCTGCTTAATGGCATGGAAATACGCTGTATTGAAAACAGCTCCCTTTTAGCAGAGCATCAGTTGCCTGAAGGCGTGAGTGAATGCAGGTACTGATGCTAATGACCAGCTGGAGGGCGTTTCTGGGATCCTCGGGAACTGGGAATCCCCTATGCCC